TTTCCCTTTTTGTTCTTCCCCTACGTATCACACCTTCCCTACACCTTTAGCTCCTTTCCTCCCATTTCTAAATGTCAGTAATCTTATTAGAATCTTATGCATTGTTGCAGAATATTCACACCAGGGAAACTATTCGGTATTTACACATGTGGGACTTATTTATTTCACTTAGGAGTATATCCTAAGGAAAGGTTTTTAATAGTTTCCATAGGCCTTGATGGTTTTTCTGTGGCCTTAAATCCTTGTCACTAACAGTAAATGTTTCAGTTTTACACAGTGATTTTACTATATTGGTGTGTCAATGTAGAGGTTTGTTTATGACTACCACTGTTGGGTGAGAAGGAAAAATATGGCCAGCAGACGTCCTATTTTGGATGGGATTTCTTCACTTTTGGGGAGAATGACAGTGTGTTCCAAGCAAAGAGCTGGTATTTTGTTTCCATTAAATTATCTCAGTGTCTTTCCCTGTTTCACATTTACTAACATTTCAGACAGTGGAAAGGAGACAAAAAGTTATTGCAGCAGCACGTTATCTCAGGATTTTCTAAGAGGAGTGCTACCAGTTTTATCACAAGTTTTATTTACCACAAGCATTTTAAAATGTAAACCTTTTTTATTTGTATATTTGTAGTACAGAAAAAAACTGGTTGGATGAAAGAGTACTAGGTATAGAGTCAAAGACCTCGGGAAATCCTGTGGTGGGTGTGCTTCTATTTTAACCTCTTCTCTACAGAATTATATAACTAAATGAAATCTTGATGTATGTAGACATACTTAGTGTGGTACTTAGATTGAGCATTTATTAAAAACTAATTCTTATAACTGACTACAAAAATGTTAAAAAAGCATACTATATGATATTTTCAGGTTAAAGAAACTAAAAGAACTTTACAAAACTTCATCTGTTACAATACCTGTAGAGCTTTAGGCCTTTACTAAGGACTGGCTATATACATTAGATATCAGAATATAAACCTAAGTTTTAGTGAGATCATATTTTTACTTTATGTCTTGGATCTGTTGTAATTCAGAGAAAGTTTTTCCAATTCTGAGATTCCTAAGAATTACCATTTCTTTTTTATGATTGTGGATGGTGCCTTCATTTACACTTTTTAAACTTTTGGGAGCCTATAATTCTGTAAGCTTTGACTTTTCTGTAAGATTTTACTCAGTTGTATATCTATTTATTGCAATACTTTCATTGTATAAATATGGAGGTTATTTAATATCAGAGGAAGTTGCAATATGTCATTTTATTGAGTGCTAGCTAAATGACTCCTTTGTTTTACTTAAGTTTCTGTTAGTCAAGAAGATCTGTGGCATAAAAATCACAGGTTGCAGGAGGAAAATGCCAGGTTAAGACTGGAAATAAATGCAATAAAAAATCAAAGCCAGGGAAAGGAAAAGAAATACCTGGAAGACATTGAAATTGCACAAGAAAAGACTGATAACCTTCAAAGGACAATAAAACTAAATGAGGAAATAATGTTTCAGCATAATGGACAGCTGAATAGTCTGACAGTAGAAAAAATAGTGCCAAATTCTAAACTGGAGAGTGTGAAACAAATCAAGGAAAGACTGGAAACAGAAACTGAATCACACCATTGCAGAGTGGCTGCTGCTGTACAGGATTATGATGAAAGACAGCCATCAAAAAGAGATGTGAAGGGAGGGCAGAGGTAAGGGGAAAAAATGAGAATCAAGACTTGCCATGTAAAGGTACATGATCCCAACAATGAATGTAACTGTACTGTATCCCTAAAATGTACCAATAAACTCAATAAAATTAAAAAAAAAAAGGGATGTGGAACTTGCTTTCCAGAGAGCAAGGGATGAATGGGCTCGTTTACAGGACAAGCTGAATTTTGATCTATCTAACTTAAAAGATACCAATGAGATGCTTTCCCAACAGCTTTCTCAAGCTGAATGAAAATTCAGTAGCTTAGAAGTTGAGCTCCATCATACAAGAGATGCTCTTTGAGAAAAGATTTCAGCCTTAGAACAGGCACAGAGAGAGCAAAACCAAGCACTGTGTCAAATGAAGGAAATTAAACGCATGCACCAGAATGAACAAATCAAAGTGAATACATGCATGCAAAGGCAGGAATCTCTAGAAGAGAGATTATCTCAACTTCAACATGAAGATGCGTTGCTTCGAAAACACTTGGATGATGCTCACAAGAAAGTGGACGATAAAGAAAAGCCAGCAATTATTATCCAAGACCAGTTTCAAGAGGAGCTTAAAAAACAATATTCCATGCTGGAAGACAAAAATAATGAGTTAATCAAAGAAAATAATCATTTAAAGGAAAGACTATGTCAGTGTGAAACGGAGAAAGCAGAAAATGTAAGTATCAAGAAAGGTAAATGTCACAGTTACATTCATTGTTGGGATCATGTACCTTTACATCCCTAAATGTACCAATAAACTCAATAAAAAAAAAAAGAAAGGTAAATGTTTTACAAACTTGCTGAAGGAAACTCTGAGTGAAATTTCATTATGGATAAATGTTTAATCTAGTTGGATATAAAGGTAAATCATGTACAAATGTACTTTCTGTATCAGCTCAGAAACCTAACTTATCTCCAAAGTGTGCCCTGAGTTTCTGAGTGTCCCTGTTACCCTTACCCGGGCAGTACACATATCTGCTCTTCAGAATTGTCAGCTGTACCTTGGAAATGTGGACGATTAAAATTTCTCAGGTCTTCATTAAACATTTTTTAACTCAGAGATATATAAATCTGAATTTGAAATCCACAAAGAAAAAGTTAGATCCGAGACATTTTGGGGGGTTTTGGTGTTTAGTTTTTAGTGCTGGGACTTGAACCCGAGGCCTTGTGCACATGGTGCACATACTGCACCCCTGATTTGCACCCCAGCCGTGAAGTAATTTTAACCTTTGTGTTGTTCTATTTTAAGACCATGATGAAGAAGATGAATGGAAGTGCTCATGGGCATTTTTAAATTAAGATTCAATTAAATGGGTTATTTTGACAGTTCCTAGAAGGTTTCCCAGATGAAATGAAGTATAAGTGCCATATTGTATGACACCTTTCCTTCTGTATATGTGTGTGTATATATATATATTTTTTTTCCTGTTTGGTACAATTTTATTTTTATTCATGTTAGTATGACCTAAATCTGAAAATGCTTATTTTAAATTATAGATTCTTATGACCTCTTGTCTCTTTAAAAGGCATGAACTATTCATTAAATCATAAATTGGGGAAAATATGGTGATTTATAGCAAAATCATAGTAGATTTAATCTTTCACCTGGTACATGTCATTTAGTGAACATTTTCCCAAGTAACATTCTTGTGCTTTGCATTTTGAGGTTGTCCCTATGGTGTAAAGGGTATAACTTTATCCAATGCAAAGATAATTGTAGCAATCTGTGATGTTACTTTGACTTTGAATCTCCTTTTTCAGGCTAAGGAATTCAGGTAGCTGGATTCCTGTACGTATAGCAGGAACGGAGTGCTTAGGGGAGAGAGTTGTATCATCTGGGGTCAGGGAAAGAGGTGAAGGTCATGTTACCTAGGTACTGATTTTTACTACGAGATAGGCATCTGCTGGAGGGATTTGAGCAGAGGGTCTAATATAAACTGTAATATAACTTGAAAGTTAATTTGAGTCTCTGACAAAAATGAGGGAAAATATGTGGAATTTACCACCACCAGTTCCACCCATACACCCATTTCTTCTTGAGACTTAAGTAGATTATTAAATATTGTAAATTCATCAGAGAAGGAGTGGCTAGAGTGTTGACTAGTGTCCAATAACAGGAGAGTGATTGAGTAGGAAGCCACCACCTTCCATGCCCCGATGTGAACTCGGCAAGAAACAGGTGCATATACTTGAAGACGATTTAATTTTTCAGAATATGTGAGTTACATATTAACATAATGTCATAATAAGGTGATTTATGAAATCAGTAACAGAAATATCTCCTCAGGTAGTTGTGAGATACCTTCAACAAGGACTGGCTGACACCCTAAAAAAGCAGTCTGTGTCAGAGGCTTCCCTGGAAAATTCATCACATTATCACATGAAGTTAGAAGATGAGAATTGGGATTTAAAGAAGAAATTAAGTCAAATCAGAAAACAAGTATGTTTGAAATTTAACATATCAACAGTTACTCTACAGCTGCTTAAATAGTATAAAGTGTTTAAGGATACTGCTTTCCATGAATAGCTTTCTTTTGTATTTTCATTATATTTATTACAATTTTATTATCTTTATACTATGTTACTCTTATGTTCTTTCTGCCATTTTTCTTGTAACTTCCCACAACTTTCATTAAAATACTTGCCATTTGGAAAGTTGAGAATTATATTGAATTTGAGAGACTTGTTCATGTTAAGCAATTTTTTTAGTGATGTCTCATGTCATGGTGATATAGGCAAATTCAGTCAGAGGATAACATTTGACAAAATATTCCAGGACCTTGTCTGTTTCCTTCACTTTTATGATTATAGAATCTTTGTATATTTATTTCATGGATTTCAGGATGAGTTGCATAGAAAGTGCTTTTTTCTCAAAAATGCAAGTGTTTTAGGATACAGATATACTTCATTTAACAATCTACTTGTTAAACAATTGTTCAGACCTATGCCTGACGTGTGCTGTTCAGCCTTATAGCCTACTCCTTTGATGTACAATCCATCTCTTTTTTTGGTACAGTTCTTTACATCTTATCTAGAGAGACTCAATCCTTTTTTGTGTGCAGTACAGCTTATTTATAGAGTTATGTCAGTTTTGCTGATTTTATTGTATAATATAGCACTATACTTTTAGGTTCTGTTACACATTACAATATTGCATGTAACAGTTGTGCAGATAAAAGCAAAGTCATCAAGTAGGAGTTTCCTTTGACCACTTATCTGCCCTGAATATTGTAATGTATATGCTACGTACAATTGCTCATTTAACAGTGTTCCTTAGTCCAAGGAATATAACTCAGGTGTTAAACAAAGTGTTTAAATTAAAAACTATTTCAAAAGTTATGCATTTCCTTCATTTTTTAATTTTAAAATAAAGCTATGGAAGTATTCAGATCATTTATTTATATCTAAAATGAAGAATTAAGAAAATTAAGTTCTGCCATTGGATTTTTCTTAAAAGCAACTTTTTTGAGCTCTAATGCAGATACCATATATTTCCCTCATTGAAAGTGCAAGAAATAGCATCTATTAGTATTATTTACTGACATACTCATCAATACAGTCATTTATAGATCATTTCCATCCCCTGTTAAAGAAACCCTAAATCCAACAGCTGCCTCTAAATCTTCCCTAGTCCTAGGAAAGTGTCAGTCTCCTTTTTTTGTGTCTATTTTCTTTGTCCTGGGCATTTCACATAAATGGAGTCATACACATTTGTCTTTGGTTTTTTATTTGTTGTTTTTGTTGTTGTTGAGACAAGGTCTTTCTATGTATCTTGGGCTGGACTCAAACTCACAGCAATCTTGCCTCAACCTCCTGAGTGCTGAGATCTCAGGCGTGTGTTACCAACGCTGAGCTCACATTTATCTTTTGTGATTGGCTTCTCTCACTTAGCTAGAGTTTCTAGGGTATATTTGTATTATCGCCCATTTCTTTCTGTTGTCCAGTCACATACTCCGTTATGTGGCTACCTCATGTATCTATCGATGAGTTGAAAGACCTATGGTTAGTTGATAGAACACTTTTGGCTGCAGTTAACACTACTGTAGACATTCACAAGATACTGTGTACACGCTTTTCCCCCCTGCCCTTGGGTTTTGTCCTCTGAGTTATTGGACTGATGTTGCCTCTCTCTCTGCTTTTATTTGTTCTGTCCTCCCTTTCTGTAGTTTCTCTTCTTCTGGCCTCAAGTATTCAGAAGTGGCTCACAATTTGTTCTTTTCTGTGAGGCTTTCTCTTCCCATTCTGATTCTGGTTGACCACACTGTTTCCAGCACACTGGTCTGTGGAGAACAATTTAGCTGGTCTGTAATCTTACATTGCCTTTATTTTGTTTTTGAAAGAGAAATAATCTTGCCAAGATATAAATTAATTGACCCAAGGAGGGAGAGTAATGTCTTGATATTCATGTCATCACCTATCCTTGAGTAAACTGAAAATATTTTTACTTAACAGTTACTAGGAAACATTACAGTTGGCCATGGTGGTGCATGCCTGTAATCTCAGCACTCAGGAGGCTGAGGCAAGAGGATCACCATTCAGGGCCTGCATGGGCTACCTAGTGAGTTCAAGGCCAGGCTGAACTACACAGCAAGACCCTATCTAAAAATAATTAAGTAGCATATGACAAATAATTTCTTTGAAAGATTGACATAATAAGGTTTATATTATAAAGATATTTTAAGAAATATAAAATGGAAAGCAATTTATCTAAAATTAGAATTGTCTATCAAATCTTCATATTTTTCTCACCATAGAAATATCTTTCTTCATTACATGCCTATACCCAGAATTTATAGACCATGCATTTGACCAGCTGAGAAGCTCTGTGTGATATACTATAATCCACACCCTGCATTTGCTTGTCAGAGTGCTTGCAAAAGCACCCCAGCAGTTACTGGAAACAAATTGATTTGGGAACCTTGATTTAGCAACAAGGTCGCATAACTTCAGTACAGTGGCTTTAGCCACCTCTTTTGGTCATGTCACATACATAATTCTTAATCCAGGAAGCACCGTCTGCATGATAGTTACCCACTGAGTAGTGCTGAGAGAAAATTAGCTGTAAGTTGTTACAGATAAAGTACCATTGTCTCCTGGAGTTAATCAGTGGGTCTCATCAATTAATCCGTGGGATGTGTTTTGGGCCTCATGCTTTGAAATGCCGACTTCATTTTGCATAATGGCCAGCTGAGCTTGTATAGGAGACCTCTTCCATTAGCTACCACCTGCCTAAAACATCAGATTTTGCTTTCTTTAGCCTGGGGTCAGCTCAGGAGCCATAAGGAAGCAGGAGAGTGAGTATCTCCTTCCTTCTCTCCTCCAAAACCCCCTGGACTTTTCTTGCCACAGCCTCACCCAGAGCCCTGAAAACTCCAGTATTTCCTCTTTACTACTTCACCTTTTTAATAAAACAAACTTTTTCTGGCACTGGAAACTGAACCCTGGAGCCTCCAATGAGCTACATCCTGCATTTTTGGGGGAGGGGGGACCAGGGATAGAACTCGGGACCTTGTGCTTTTGAGGCAGATGTTGGCACCACTGAGATAAATCCCGTGCCCCACATCCTGGGCTGTTTTTATGATTTATTCTGAGATAGGATCTCACTAAATTGCCCAGGCTGGGCTTAAATTTTCTATCCTCATGCCTCAGCCTCCCTGAGTGCTGGGATTATAGACATGCACCACTATGCATGGCTTGATACATTTCTCATTGTTTTTTGAAATAGGATCTCACTATATATCACAGGCTGACCTTGAATTTACCAGGCCACCCCAGGGTAGCCTCAAGCTTATAGCAATCTGGCCTCAGCCTCCTGAGTGCTAGGATAACAGGTGTGTGACATTGAACCAGCTCCTGTTTTGAATTTCGAGACATGGTATCACTAAATTATCAAATCTGGCCTTGACCTAGGTAATCTTCTGCCTCAGCTTCCCTAAAATATCAAATATTTTCAAAACATGAAAAACAGTAATACCTAATGGCAAAGATTTCATAAAGATTTTAGGCAATACAGTTTGTCATAGGCCCCTCAAAGCTCTTTGTGTATATTCCCTCATTTAATTTTTCTAGCAGTCTAGTGAGGTGTAGATGCTGTTGTTATCTCCAATTCGTAGATGAAGAAAACAAGACAAAGTTCCTCTTCTTACAATCCCACTGCTCATAACTGGTGCAGCAGGAGTCAGGCCCAGCCATTCTGGCTTCTGTGTAGAGACTGTCAAACAGTTTCAGAAGTCATCTGGATTTTACTGAATTGTAACATTTTAGTATCCCTGGCATACCTCTTGTCAGTCATATGTAAGAATTTTTCAAATCATGGTTGATGAATGGTATTTGGAATATAAAAAAAATAAAAGGATAGTATAATTCTTGTAATATAAAATTACAACTGAATGAACAGCACAAAGAAAAGTGTTTCCTCTTTTCCCCACTTTACAAGGATTTTTGTTGTATTTGTTTCTTTTCCTGTGACATAGGGATCTCCCTGCATTGCCAAAGCAGGTCTGGAGACTCAGTCTCCCAAGTAGCTGGGACTCCATGTACATAGTACTGTGCCAGCCTTCCAGGTTTCTGTTTGAGTACCTGGTGACATAGCTAATCAGGAAGTGTGTTTCTGCCCTAGAGCAGGGATCAATAAATTTTTCTGTAAAGGGCCGGAGAGTTATTTTCAGCTTTGTGGGCCAGAGGACCCTTCTTCAATGATTCGGTTAATTCTGCAGTTGCAGCACTGAGGTAACTAAACACTATGTAGGTGGAGCCCTATGGCTGTGTTCTGGTGCAATGAGAGCATGAAAACTCGTGGTGGGAAGTTTCTTAGTAAAGTTTTTGGTTTTTGTTTTGTTTTTTTTAGTTGGAAGATCAACAGAATGCACACATAGAAGTGCTGTGGCATGCTAAGAAGATGCAAGAACATATACAAAAGTATGATATAAAGCAGTATACAAATAACTTGAGTCTTTATAAAGCAAGTGAGCAATAAAGTATGACAAATATGTTAGATAATCAATAAATCTCCATCAAACTGTGTGAAATTCTAGCATTGATCCAGTTACTTGAAATGTGTAAGGTAGGGCTGTCGATATAGTGCAATGGTAAGAGCATGTGCTTTACAGATGAGGGCTTGGGTTCAGTCACGACATTGCAGAAGAAAAATTATCTACAACCAAGTGGGAACAATGATAATTACCAGATCATCTACTTTTCCCCATTTTTAAGACTGTGTGTATTCTTTCAAATGATCCAAAATTATGTTACTTTTTAAAAATAGGCCCATGAAAATAATTATTTTCCAAAAAATATTTTAGGCTTGAACTTGAAAATTCCAGGCTAAAGTGTAAAGTAAATACGCAACCAGGGAAAACTGAACAGCTTCAGAAGAACCCATTAAGGGCAAATTTGGTAAGTCAGTGTCTTTTTCATTTCTATAATAGCAAAAAGGAGTTTTTATTTCTCTAGTAGTGTATAGGAATATTTCAGGCAAAATATTTTAAGAAAAATCTCATTAATAAAAATATTTGTCATAATCATATTAATACTACCTGCTCTACTAGTAGTGAAGTCCTCTTAACTTTATATTAGGTAGTTGAATTTATGCAATGAATGACTTTGTCAGTAATATTTTAATAGGAAAGATTGTGATAGTCTAAAGTCAATATTTTATATATACCACATTTTGTTTAATCGTTATCCATTGAAGGACCTGAAAGTTATTCCCACATTTTGTTGGAAACAGTGCTGTTGTAGACATTGATATATAACTAGATATTCAGAGTCCTAGCTAATATGTTATAATAACTTTTAAAATTCCAGGAAATTTAATTAATTGTGTGATCTAGAATTTTGAATTTTTCTTGGAGTCAAAGCCTTTCCATGAGATTTAGAGTATAAATTAATTGTAATTTATATTTTTTCTTTTATTGAATTTATTGATACATTTTAGGTATACAGTACAGTTACATTCATTGTTGGGATCTTGTACCTTTACATGACAGATGCTCTTGGTTATATTCTTATGAAGAATAGATACTAAGTCATAGGCAATTTATCCCCCAAAGAAACATTTATTTCTCTTTGACTGTAAGAAAATGAAAAAGATGTCAGTAAAACAGTAGAAATGGCTATTTATCTTACAGAGTAACTAGCACCACTAGCATTGCTGTTTCAGATTTTTTTCCAGCCATTTGTGCTTATTAGGTGCTCAAAGATGTAACAGTCTAGAAGATAAATGTTCAAGTCTGGTGAGAATTTGCTGATGTATGATGAAAACCATGTAACTGTTGACCAAGCCAAGCAGAGTCTCCTGTTGTTTTTACTGTCCCGTGTGGGAATTAGGGCCACAAGATGCATTGTGTGTGCAGAATTGGAGCTGTGAGGCAGCTCTTTCCACTAAGTGATTTCTTAAAGTCATGGCAATTTAATCCATGCAGCTCCTTTATGCAGATAGGAGCTTGTGTCTAGATGTCCCCCAAAGTCTCACTTATCAGAGGTGGCTGAATCTGCAGTGTGTGATGCTGTGTTGGCAAGATAAGAATGCTATTAAACAAAGGTCCTTGACAGACCCTCACATTATTTTATTGGAATTACAGCAGAAAATAACCATATTTTAAATGTATAAAAAGTTATAAAAAAAACACTAAATTTGTAGATGAGACCATGTATCATGAGAATATGAGTCTCCAGTGCAGTGGGAGAAACAAGATGATAGAAAGGAAAGCTACAAGAATCATGTAAAAGTTAAATTTCTGTACATTACAAAGAAGACTGAAACTTTAAGGAAAAATGTTTAACAGGAAAAAAAGGAGGGGGGAGGAGGGGAAGGAAAGGGAAGGAAGAGGAGGAGGAGGAGGAGGAGGAGGAGGCAGGAAATAAATTCCTGAGAGAATGCTTACAGATAATTAGCATCTTTTGTCATACTAACATCAAGTGAGGTTCCAAAATATAATGATATCAGGTAGATATTTTCCAAAGCTTGTCTAGATAAAATATGGTTTAAATAAGTCTGGGATAACAAGTTATTGATGGAAAGGCTTCTTGTTTATCTTTAGAAACTAAAGTGGAAATACGACTATTCTTTTTACAGTTAAACATTTATGTTTGCAACTTTTAACCAATTTTGACAGTACAATTTTCAGAAAAGATTATGAAAGAATAAGTTAATTTGATCTATGTTAAGAGAAGTAATTGCTTTTAAAGTCTGTACTTATTGATGTCAGTTTTATACAATGCATTAAAACATTCATGAACTCAGAAGTCATAAGAAAGAAGAGTGAATTTCTAGATTTTTACAAAATAATGTTAAATGTTTTTCAAAGTCTGAAGGTGATAAAGAACAATTAAATACACTTACTGAGTCAATAGAATATCTGGAATATACTTTGAAGAAAAATGAGGAATTGCAAAATGAGCTAACTAGGTAAGATTTTTATGTCAAATCTTGTTAACCATTCATTCAATGATTTCACTAACTTTACTAAAGCTAACAGCAGCCTATATCATTCTTTAACAACACTAAAATTAATCTTGATTCATCTTATATTTTCTGTGTAGCTCTTTTTTATTTATAAAATGTATAATAGAATTACACTTCTTTGGCATGGGTCCACATGTACGTGAGGTATTCATGTTATTAGCCTTCTGTTTGCTGTGTGTATGTGTCTTCACAAATATATACTACATAAATAATGTATATAATCTCAGTTTTTTTGTTTTGTTTTGTTTTGTTTTTTTGTCCTGGGGATTGAACATGGTTCCTTATGCTTGTAAGGCAGGCGGCAGAACCACTGAGCTAAATCCCCAGCCCTGTATAGTCATCTCTTGATGTATTCAGAGTATTGGGTCCAAGACCTCCTCAGATACCAAAATCCATGGACACTCAAGTCTCTTCATGGTGTAGTGTTTGCATACAACCTACTCAACCCTCCCATACACTTTGTATCATCTCTAGATTACTTACAATACCTAATATAAGGGTTGTATACATTATTGTTATATCATTCAGGGAATAATAACAAGAAATAAATCACCAGTATGTGCTCAGTGCAGATGCATTTTTCTTTTCTGAGTATTTTCAGTCTACTATTAGATAACCTACAGATAGAAAGCAGTGATGGTATATATGTCCCATACACAAAAAAATGAAGGTATGACTTGCAAGTGCAAATGTTTCTACCACCAGATGAAGAAAATGGGGTATTTTCCAGCACAGATGCTTTTCTATTTATTTTTGGACAACTAGAGCTTGTTATGATTCTACTCAATGTTTTCTCTCCTTTAATTGTCTGTCTTTATAAAGATTGTATTGCATCTCTTGCATTTTGCCAACATTGTGGGAGCAAAAGTTGAAATTTCTTCTTAAAACAATCTTTTAGTCTATCCATTATTTCTCTGTTCATTTCCTTTCTCCTAAACTTTCCCTCTTTTATACT